TATGAGAGACTCCGGAACAGACTACCCTGTCAGTATAGTTTGTATAAATTAAATCAATTAATGTTGAAGAGGATTCCGTTATGCGAGTAGGTTCAGTTATAAGCTGTTGAAGCCCAAATAAATCAGAAATTTCACATAAGCGTCGAGTATTTAAATCATATTGTGCAGAGGCCAGGTTACAGTTTAAATCACCTAGCAGATAATATTCTAGGCCGAGGGAATCTAATTTCTCAAGAAATGATTCGTAAGGTAAAAATAAATCAATTGAGGAGCAAGGAGGTCTGTACCAAGTGGCTATCAGAAATGGCCTGGAGTTTGGTTTCCGAATCTCTATACATAAATTTTCAAGACTGGGTGCATTCAAATCAGAGCGAACTCCAAAATTAATCGAGGTTTTTATATAAAAACCTACTCCTCCTCCTTGTCTGTTTCTATCACGACGAATAAATTCATAGCCTGGTATTTGGACCTCACAACTATTGATAGAGTCATCAAGTTTAGTTTCATTAATTGAGAGAATATCAATGGAGCGATCGGCAAGGAGAATTCTTAGTTCATCAATATGCTTTGTAAGACTATTAATGTTTAAACCTGCAATTTTAAAACCACGACCAGAAGGAAGAAAATCAGAGAGAATTGTACTTTCAAATGAATCAACGTTTTGATTAGGAATACCTGATGATACGTCACTCGGTTGAGAAGCTAGCGTGGGCGTCTCCTGTTGCGAGCTGGAGAGGGAAGGTTTCCCAGTTCCATCAGAAGCTTTACCAGTTGTTGGATAGCTGAGGACTGAAAACCCTTAAGAGACTGATTATACTTGCCAGAACCAGATCTTAAAAACTTAATAAATTGCACGGCCAGCAATGACGAACCTTTGGCATTCAGATGAAGTCTACTACCATTTAATGCTGAGGCGTCAATAACCGAATTATCAATATAAGTAAAGTTATTATCTACTGCTGTGAGCTTGACCCTCTCATTAACTTCAATGCGTTTAGCATCGACGTTGATATCTTCTCTGTAGACTATACCCGAGAGACCAATGCTTGAGTTAGGAAACTTGCTCTTCACCTTCAATACAAGGCTCTTGATATCGGCGACACATGAATCGGCAGACTCCGACGGAAGATTGTTGGTGCCAGTATGGATGATGACGTGAGAAGGATCCGCGGATGCAACAGCGATGTTGTCAACAGCTTCAGCTATTTCAGCAGTGGTTTTCCCGGGATATGAGAATTTATGTACATGTCTTTGCGAAAGCTTTTTTGGATCAATGTGTTTTATCATTGAGTCACCAATAAGCACTATGGGTCTTGTCTTTCCGACTTCACCGCTTTTGGAGTTATTTGCACTAACTCGAGAGGTATTTGCGTGCGCTCCAGACTGATGCAGTGGCATCTCAGAGGATACTTGACTCGAAGGAGAAGAGACAAGTAAGGCCTGATAGCGGTTATGACTAGTTGGAATTGAATCAAATGCCCGGCTCGCTTCAGATGAATCAACATGTGAATGTTGCTGTTGCTGTTGTTGGCGACTTTCTTCGTTATTTGCAGTATAGTTGTCCTCATTTCTCACTTGGAATTGTACCTCACTTCTAAGGGGCTCAAATCTGTTCTGAGTTACTATATTGCAGGCCGCCAACGGCCGTTGGATATGTTTATCATTCACACTTTTCCCAAGTGTGCCCACTTGGGACCAACAATCACATATCTTTTGTTGGCGGCATTCGCCCTCGCTTCTTTCTTGCATAATGATCTTCATTGCCAGCTTAAGAGAATCATTTTCTTGTTGCAAGGACAAAACTTGGCTCTCATAGGAAAAACACTTTTCCTCCAACACCTCAATTTCATTATCTTTTTTAGATAATGTCGATAACACCTTCTCATACCTCTCTTTGTAATCGAGGAGCTCGGCGCTAAAAGCGGTTTCTTGTAATTTGCATTTCGTCGACAGAAGGCTTGTATTTGCTTCAACCTTTTTCTGAAGAATTAGTAAATCCAGTTTTAAGCCCTCAATATCAGCACTGATAACCGAGTTCGATCGCTCTTGAATACTGTTCTCAAGTTCGGCGTCGGCGGCCGAAGCTAGTCGATTACTGCAGATGCCATTGGCTTCTTGCGAAGGCGGAATTTCTTGCTCGGTTGTTGAAGCATACGAGACAGGCGTATCAGCTTCTGTTCCCTGTTTATTTTGAATAAACTTGACCAACTTGTCCTTTAAGGAGGGACCATCTCGACCTTGGAAACAAAGGGTTAGCTGTTTCTTATTATACCAGTTGATGACAAGATTATTGTTAGAACTTTTGAATTGCTTTACGTTTCCTCCGGGCGACGACCACTTTCCTTGTAGTTTCAAGCCAGTGGACAATGCCCCTGCTTTTTTACAATTACGAGACAAGTACAAACAAGAATTGGTGGAAGATACCCGCTTGACCAAAGCCGCGGATTTGGCGACCAAACAACATGTGCTCTTGGCCAGTGATGCCCCGATGCCGGGAAACGACCTCAACTCAAAGCCGTGGGCCGTTGGACCAAAAAAGTCCGCCAGCCGTTTGGGGCCCCGACCAGTGGCGTTGGCGCCACGGGTGCCACGACCCCTGGCGACGATGATTTTCAGGCGGTCCCCGTGCAAGCGTGGTTCACGCAATTGGTCAAGGCGACCTAGGGTATAAAACAAGGTACCACGCCAGAAGGACCCAGAAAACCACCCGTACCACCCAAACCCAACATCACCCCCAGTGCCAAAAAGAAACTCAAGTTCACGCCCCAGGTGAGCACCCAAGAGTTGGCTCAAGAGTTGCCTTTTCAGAGGATATTGCACCGAAACCTTGGGATACCCCCACTTTACCCCCACTTTCCGTTTTCTTTCATTTTCCGTGACAGTGAATTCAAGTAAATTCAAGAAAACTCGCGTTTTCCAGCATTCACTGATAAGTTCAGGCATGGAAAACAGATTGTATTCCAGCGTTAGCGGTCTTGTTCTACTAGTTTTCTGGCGTTCTCAAGTACAGAAAATTCGTGTGAAGTTAGGAAAACGCAAAGTTTTCCCGCGTTTCCCGTTATATGTCCTTTGGAAATTGCTTTTGTTTCAACAATTTGCTTTTTCCTCCCCTGTTTTCAATGGTGTTGTAACGTTCAGTATTAATTTAATTCAGACAGGGAAAATATCTTGTATGTCATAGCTTATCCGTAATTCCCACCCCGCAATTGAGGTCCTCTGGTTATTATTGTTTGTAAATGCGTGTAAAACCCAAGGTATAGTTATCGTGTAGGGAGTAAAATGTTTCCTTCCCACTTACTTATATATAAGGAGTGCACAGATGAAAAGAACCAATATATGAACTGTAAATTCTGAACATTTATTTACATGCATACAAATCATACCCTTAGTGTTACAGTGCTTGCAGTCTAATTCTATAAATGAAATTGTCAGAAGATGTGGTCTTCAAAATTATAACCTACCTTACACTAAAGAAAAACATTGCTAACATTCTACATTGAGAACTCTCAGGCTGAACTCTATGCGAAGTGGAAAAAAAAAACACTTAAAAGTCCAAAAAAATCTAGTTCTTACATTAATACCTTATAATTAAGTGACAATTAAGTGTATTAAAGAACCTTTTAAAGCCATGTGGAACTGTAACTATACAGAAACAAGATGTTTGTGATTTGAACTCATGGTTCTGATGCACATCAATTTTGACATCAAACTGAATACTGGGTAACAAACATTATGGGGTTAATTCCTAAGATGTAAAAAATTATTATTTGCATTTAAAGAATAGAAGCTGTTCACAATTCATTTTTTGGAAACAAATTTACTTAAGGAAATCAAAGATTGCAGATTGAGTAATATAACAATAATTAAAAACCATATTTCTTTTTGAAATAAATTATGCCTACATCAGTAAGACTGAGCTGTTACATTTTACTCTTCAATCTACTTTATATAGTTACTTCAACTTAACCTTTAAAGGCTGCACCAACTTTTTGAGAAACGCTCCCTATTCAGGGTGAAACATTCATGTCAGTGGCAAAGAGAAGTTGCTTAAACAATCCTCTGGTGTTTCTTTACAACACCTCGACTCTTGAAATGAATTAAGTATACCTTGTCATTTCAAAGGGCTTTGACAGTTAAAATGACTTATGGGGAATTGCACACGGCCCATTTCAAATGTTCTGGGACAGTGTCTGTCCCTCTTTCACTGGCAACACCTTGTCTTCGACTAACTGATTGTCTCCTTTGTTGGGAGCTCAGGAAGAAATAATAGAATTAATTTGTTTTAAAGCTTACCTAAGGATACACAAAATAAGTATTTAAACTATCTTTAATTTATTTACTAAAGACATGAAATACACTTTTCATAGACTTTAAGGTGAAAATTAAAGGCTAACTTATGAACCATTTCATAACCGCTTTAAGTTAAGAAGAAAGGTAACTG